AGGATTACAGGTGTGAGCCACCGCGCTCAGCCTGTATTTTCTTTATCTATTCATCTGTTGATGGATACATGGGTTGATTCCATATCTTGGCTATTGTAAATAGTGCTGCAATAAACATGGGAGTGCAGATATCTCTTTGATATACCTATTTCCTTTCTTTTGGATGTATACCCACCAGTGGGATTGCTGGATCATATGGTAATTCTAATTTTAGCTTTTTGAGGAACCTCGATACTGTTTTCTATAGCGGCTGTACTAATTTGCATTCCCACCAACAGTGTACAAATGTTCCCCTGCATCTTTGCCAACATTTGTTTGATTTTCTGTTTTTGGGTAATAGCCTTTTTAACTGGGCTAAGATAATATCTTGTTGTAGTTTTGATTTGCATTTCCCTGATTATTAGTAATGTTGAGCATTTTTCAAGTACCTGTTGGTCATTTGTATACCTTCTTTTGAGAAATGTGTTTTCAGATTATTTTCCTATTTTTAAATTGGATTATTTGGGATTTTTTGCTACCAAGTTGGGTTCCTTATATGTTCTGGTTATTAATCCTGTCAGATAAATAGTTTGCAAATATTTTGTCCCATTCTGTAGGTTGTCTCTTCATTTTGTTGTTTCCTTTGCTGTGCAGAAGCCTTTTAGCTTGATATATCCTATTGATCAATTTTTGCTTTGGTTGCCTGTGCTTTTGAGGTCTTACTCGAGAAATCTTTGCCCAGACCAATGCCCCGAAGTGTTTCCCCAGTGTTTTCTTGTAGAAGTTTAATAGTTTCATGTCTTATATTTAAGTCTTAATCCATTTTTATTTGATTTTTGTATATGGTGACAAGAGGGAAGGATTCTATCTTAAAGATGAATTGAAATTTTGATAGGGTGGCAGTAGAAAACTTTACTTGACTTTTGAGTGTTATCACAATTATAGATTAGCTAATACCACACTCTTTTTAAAGAATTAGATGGGATTAAGTCCTTTTCAATTAGGTGGAATTTTTAATACACCAGCAGTGGATAAATTTATGGTCTGTGGGCTGGCTGCCTGTTTTTGCAAATGAAGTTTGATTGGAGCACAGCTACATGCATTTGGTTACATATTGTCTATGTCCATTGTTTTGGGCTACATTAGCAGAATTGAGTATTTTTCACAGAGACCATATGGCCTTCAAAGCCTAGGATATTTATCTGGCCCTTTATAGAAAATGTTTACTGATTCCTGAATTAGATGATATTAAATTGATTATCTAGCCC